CTTGATTTTAAAAAAAGTTTGAGTTTGAGTCCAGTTTGAAAATCAAATCAAATCCAAACTTGACTAAAAGTTTGATCCGGTCCGGTCTGATAGGAGCACTAGTATGGGCCTTACTAATTGTTAAAAGTATAAAATGAAACAAACTTTGTTATCTAAATGATTATTGTATAATTGAATTCACCAGACATGTTTGATTAAAAAATTGAATTTTAAATTTCGCATATAGACATCATAAAGTCAGTTATTATAGTAATTTAATGTATTTGCATATTAATATTAGTAAGAATAATCTAATTTTTTTCAAAACGCAATGATGGATTGCGAAATTTTATTGTATTTTTGATATATGCATTGACCAAAGGAAAATAAATGTTGTTTAATGAATAGAAATCGCTTTAATTATAATGAGTATTTAAATGTACCAAACAAGTCAGTCTTTCATATCAGAATGACTGAAGTGCTTCACTTCAAGTTGAAATAATTTAGAAACATAAAGTTTTGCATCACTTTGGACAATCATCAAATCAAACATAGAAAAAATAAAATACTTGAATTTTTTTGCAAATAAAAAAATTACATAATGAATTAAGATTCATGTTATATTTTACAGCAGGTAGTTGAAGATGCAGTTCATTAATTCAAAGTTTGTATAATAGACAAGCTTATAGAAAAATTTTCAATTTATTTAAATGTTGCTAAAAACTTTTTAAATCAATCAATCTAATATTGTCATTGTAAAAAGACAAATTGTAATATTAAAGAGTACTCTTATTATAAGAATAATTTATTGTATACAAGATGCTCTACAATAATTGCATCGGATAAAGATTTTTTTTATAGTAATTACATTTTTTATTACTTCTATTACTATGGGTTTTGATATTTGAAGTTAAGATTTTAAATTTTAATTTCTGGAGCAGAGTGGAGGACCTTAAGTCCAGACAATAGGCAAAAAAAATTCCGGGTAGGATAAGTAAGAGCATAGACAAAAAAAATCCCAATTATAGTATTGAAATTTTCAATTAGCATTAAGTTACTTTTAGTTGATTTTTAGGTTAGCATTGATATTTAGGCTCAGACATAAGGGGAGGTGGGGGGAATTAAACAGACACATATATTCCTAAGAATTTTTGATCAAATCTCATTGGTCAACATTAATCACATGTTTAAGCTGCATTGTAATTGGATTGTTTAATTTTCAGGAGGAAACCTAAAAATTAATTAAAAACGGCCTTAGTAGTGATTAACATATCACACTTTAAATTTAACCTTATTTACCGTTACTTAAATATATATAACATATTGCACATTAAATTTAACTTTATTTATTGTTATTTAGAAGCATGATATATCACACTTTAAATTTAGTTTTATATACTGTATGATGCAGCATAATAAATTCTAATCGCTCATAATAAAATAAATTTAAGATAGTGGTTTAATTATAGAAATAAATGCTATATATGAGTTTAGTTCAGTAATAAATCAAAATTTTGAGCACTTTACTTTTAAGAGACTTTATCATATTAAAGAAGATTAAGGGTACAAGAGAATACTTGAAGAAAAGTGACTTATAGATATAAGCACAAATTTTAATTAATTTCGCATTTAATATTGAAATTTAAGTTTAATTAATTTCGCATTTAATATTGAAATTTAAGTTTAATTAATTTATTCTTATAATTCGAACATAACAATTTTAGAAGTTCTGTGTATACTTTTTAAATTAAAATTTTTCATAGCATCTTATCAAGCTAGTTTTAAGGATGATAATTTGAAAGAATTACAACAATTCTGTGCAAATATTATTTCTAAACATCCAAATATCGTTTTTGATTCGGATGAATTTCTCACTCTTTCAGAAAATACTTTAATATTTATCTTAAAGCTTGATAATCTACAAATGGATGAAGGAAAAATTTGGGATAACACTATTAAATGGGGAATTGCTCAAAATCCATCTCTATCTCCCAATCCTGATCAATGGTCTGACGAAGACTTTTTAACTTTAAAAAATTCACTTCAAAATTGTCTTCCTTTAATTCGCTATTTTCAAATTTCTGGTGAAGAAGTCTTTGATAAAATTCACCTTATCAGAAAATCCTTGAACCAACTTTGTGGACTGATATTATTTTAAAATTTATGGCACCGAACAAATCTATAAAGATTACTTCACATGTTTTACCTCCTCGCAATAAGTTATCTATAACGCTACCTTCACGAAGTGGTATTTCTAATGTTGCTAATTGCGCATCAGAAATTGAATTAAATAAAGCGTCAAAATTAAGAAAAAGAGGTAAAGCTTATCGTATTAAGGGTAAATATAAAGAGTCACTTGTTGACTTGACTAAATCATTAGATATTGAACCAAATAATGCGTTTGCACTGAAAAATCGTGGTGTTACTTATTATTGGATGAAACAATATGAAGAATCACTTGTAGATTTAAATAAATCATTAGAATTTGAACCGGATGATGCATTTTCATTAAAATATCGAGGAAATACTTATCGTATGATGGGTAGATATGAAGAATCACTTACAGATTTGAATAAATCATTAGAAATTGAACCAGATGATGCATTTGCATTAAAAGTCCGAGGAGAAACATATCGTTTAATAAATAGATATGAAGAATCACTTGCTGATTTAAATAAATCATTAGAAATTGAACCGGATGATGCATTTGCATTAAGAAGTCGAGGAGATACTTATCGTATGATGGAAAGATATGAAGAAGCACTTGCAGATTTAAATAAATTATTAGATATTGAACCAAATAATGCATTTGCGTTAAGAGTCCGAGGAGATACTTATCGTTTCATAAGCAAATACGCAGAATCACTTGCAGATTTGAATAAATCATTAGAAATTGAATCAAATAATGCATTTGCATTAGGTAGTCGAGGAATAACTTATCGTTTAATAGGCAAATACGAAGAGTCACTTGCAGATTTAAATAAATCATTAGTAATTGAACCAAATGATAAATGGAGATTAAACCAACGTGAAATAACCAACCGTTTATTAAATAAATAAAAATTCATTTGTCGATTTATAATAAAATTAGAATTGAAGATTATTTAATACCATTTTGTGTGTTGTCATTAAATTTTACACATTTCAAATCTCGGTAAATTGAGCCATAGAAATTTTGGCTCATTAAAAGAAATTTTATAATTACTTTGATTTAATAAGATTTTATTAGCTCATTACGATGATAAATATAAGTTTTGCAATTTATAAATTGATAATTTGAGTGAATGAAAATTGCACAAGATGCGCAAGAGATTTAAGTTAATTTCTTTCAGCTTTTGCTGAGTCTTACATAACATTGATAGTGATTATAATGATAAAAAAGTAATTTTTTACTGTCATGGACGTTTTTGTAATATTATAAATTCATAAGTCATAACTTCCTGACTTGTAAAGTCTTTGATTGAATGCTTGAATCTTTTAATAACCAAATAAAGGTGCTTGAAGATATAAATTATTACAAATGTCTATTACAAGTGTTTAATTATATTAAAAAAATTCTTATATATAATATATAAAAATTGGTCTACCACAATATAGCTAAATCATACGGATCCTACTAATTGTTAAAAGTATAAAACGGAACTAAACTTTTTTATCTTAAATGATTATGTTATAATCAAATTCTCCAGACATGTTTGATTTAAAAATAAAATTGTAAATCTCGTATAAGGCATTTATAAAGGACGCTGTAATGTATATTACAATTTATTGATTTCTTTTTTAACTGTGAATTTATTATTTTTCGTATTATGTTACCGATTTATAAAGACGTGATGTTCTGCGTCGATCACAAAATTTGTCGATTTCTTTTAATCTCCACTGATTGAAAAATAACTTATGCCGGTCGTTAATGCAAGAACCAAATATTTATTAATACACACAAGGCACCAAAATGTACAAATATTCCAAGCGATACAAGTAAGTATCTTTCTACCCAGTGTACCCTGTATACTATAGTCCTTCCAAATATCCCTTGTTCCAACTCAAAGACTCAAAAAAATCCCTTCTAAGACTAATTAACTAACTCTCCCTTTCTTATACCCCCTTTCCTAAAAGTCCCAGCGTTACCGACAATCGAGGGCGCAGTCACATGATCTTCCGACACGATCAATCAATAATAAGTCACAATTTTGCGTAACGTAACACGATCAGAAAAATTCGTTCATTTTGAAAAAAACGCCTGTTTCTCGAAAATTTGCATAAGAAACCGCCTTTAATGCTCTAACCAAAAAATTCCATATTAAACTTTGCATATATATAATACCTTACTAAAATCCTAGACATCGCCCTAACCCTAAAGTAAACGAACTTTAAAATTTTTCGATCATTTCATGTGACTGCACCCTCGATTGGTGGTAGAGTGGACGGGGAAATGTGATGTGCATATATGTGCATATGTGACATGTTTTTCATGAATCATATGTGAACATATGTGCGTGCAGTACGTATATAGAATTCTTTGCCAAAAGAAGGCATTAATATTTATTTTATCATAATAAATCGAAACTATCTGAAATTAGTTTCGCCTTTAGCATTAGTACCTAAAATTAGTTTCGCCCTTTAGCAAAAGGTGTTATACAATTAACATCATCTAGACCTGGTCCATTTAAAGTTGGATCAAATGCTGGATCTTCATATAATTCTACATGAAATCGGCTATTAGCTTTGAAAAAGAATGAATTACCAAGGTATTTTGTGTCTGGGAACGGTTGCATAGCAACTTCACATAAATCAATAATGGAACCATCCTCTTCTTCTTTTGCAATTATGTGAACAATAGCTCCTTTTCCTTTCTGTTCTCTTGTAAATTTTCCCGACGTGAATTCAATTTGAACATTATCAGCCGAAAGTTGAATAGAGGGTGATTTAAGAATTAAATGATCAATATGTAATTGATCTTCTGTTCCATAAATGTAAAATGGAATATGATCTATCGGATAGTCTGTATCTTGATAGGATAATCCCAAGTTGCGCTTCTTGAGCAATTTAATGGTTTTCACATTGAAATTTTTTATTGAAGACATTTTAGTACGTCTGGGTGAATGAGAATCAATATAAATGATAAAAAAAAACAACTTAGGTTAAATATACAATAAAACGTAATGAAAACATTTTATATTACG